AAGGGGCTTCATGATTTGTACTCTAATATATGTACGGGGTTGTGCGGAGTGCACGCATGTATAAGATCGATTCATAAGCCGGTTCGATGACTAGTCGGGGGTCCGGGGGCAGCGGCCCCGGGTCCAGGGTTTCCAAAGGGGCAGCGCCCCTTTGGCGGGGTCTAGGGACAGCGTCCCTAGCGGGGTCCAAGGGGCAGAACCCCTGGCTGGGGTCCCGCAAAGTTTTGGTAACCCTAATCTGGATTAATATTACTTGCTTCCAAAGCAACTAATGAGGACCCAACCCTAATGAAACCCTAATCGTGTTTAATATATAAACAACTCTTCCTTTCCAGAAGGTGGTTACGTTCTTTAGCTCTCGTTTTTCATCACACATTCACATAACCCTTTAGCATATTGGCTTACGTTTTCTGTGCCTAGAAAAGTAAGTGTCCACTTGGATTATCCTAGGCTGAATTTCTTGTAACCCAGGCATAGGGTAGAAATATCAGTTCGGAAAGTGATATCACGATCCAAGTTGGTATCCAGATCTCCACCACAAACCCTAAATTTCCCAACATTGCATTCCCATACCACGTAAACTGAAAGATACTCGGCGGAGTGATTTAGAGTTCGGTTGATAATAATCTCGTTCGAGATTAGAGACAAGACCGTATCAAGCCTCTCTACGAACTGAGAACTACTACTGTCAGCTGCTCCGCACTTTATAGTCATCAACCCCGGAACCGGGTTGAACCCGTGAAGCTCGTAACTCATCTAACATCCATTAAGCTGGACTCGAGCGGCCAATGTGTTTGTCTTGCACATTTTTTGGATAGAGTGCATGAGTTCTGTTATGCACCTGCTGCAATTTATCTTCGACAAGTCAAAATGGCACTGGTAGAAGCCGGAAATGGACTGGTTATTCTCACCGGAGGTTGTTTTGTAGAAATTAGTGGTGGATGATCGAGAAACAAGGCTTTTGAAAAGGGAGTTGAGGTTTTCAGAAGCAAGTGGGTCATGGAAAGTCTGATTTGCACAATCTATGGAAACGAAACCTGTGAGAGTAGTGGATGCAGATGAAGAGAGAAAGAAGAGGAAGAGGGGGATGTAGCTTCCAGATGGAACCATATTTGAGACTTGAGAGTATTACTATTTGAACCATCTCTGGTCATTTCCTGGGAACATATACAGTGATGGAAGTAAGGACCCGTACAAATCGAAATATACTTTGCTTCTTCTCGTCGTCGCGCGTGTAGCTAAAGGAAGTTCACGTTTAAAGTAGGAAAGGAAGCTACTTTTGCAGGGAATATTTTAATACTTTCAATGAATAACTAGAGTTTATTTTTCTTTTATTTATTTTTTATTTTTTTTATAAACAGGGTAAAACGAAAAAATATTTTCGAACTTCTTTTAAAAATAGGGTATTTTGATTGGGCCTAAATTGACGTAGCTTTTTCTAATTTACGTTATTATCATTTTAACTTACAACTTTTACTCTTAAACTTATAGAATATATTTTCAGTTTATACCTTCTAATTTCAAAAACTTAAATTTTTACGTTTTGATATCGACTATGATTAAAATTTTTATATTGTATACCATTACAATCATCTCATAGTACGTTACAACAACATGAAATAAAAGATAGATTAAACATGAAATTATAAGAAAAAACAAACATGAAATTACAAAAGAAATACAAACAAATCGAAGAGTATATCACAATATTGATTAAAAAAATATAGTTCACATTTCATTGTATCTTGGTTGAGAATTTGATCAATTTCTTTTGTTATGTCTGGATTGAAGTTATAGTCATCATCGACGAGGTTCATGAGGATTACGAACATCCATCTCGTTACGAAATCGATTTGAACGCCTCCGGTCTTTCTGAACTTACAAAAAGTTTCGATTAATTTACTTCAATCTTCCAATCAGACTCCAACCAGTAATCAACATGAGAAAGTTGTGCAAAAGCATAGTTATATTGTACTCTATATGTTGCAGTAGTATAAACTGCATCGACAATGGAATGAGGGTTATCCCCTCTAAAACGACAAACTGCAAGAGCATGTGAACATCGAAATCTTTTCATCTTCCATTTACCACATATGCATGTATGTTGAAAATAATGGACATTTGACAACCGTCAAATTTCGGTAAATTCAAAGTCAACAAGTCAAACCGGTCAACTCCAATAACCCTTGTATGCTAGGGTTTACGTTATGTAATCACTATTCGCTATTTTAATGAGAAATCATCATTTGGAAAGTTCATGTGTTTGATTTTCCTTAGCCTTAACAGTG